CTATTTTGCCTACTACACAAGTTGCGCTATTTCATTTGTAAGTTTAGTACCATCCCGATCACCCAGATAAACAAATTATTACTTTCAAAAACATTTTAAAATAGTTGGTCATCAGCAAAGAAAAAAATTTTTTTTTCAAATTAACTTCCACGATAGCACAGTAGTATAATTAACAAAAAAAGAACGGATTGATTAGTGCAATAAGGAACAGAAAATGGAATTACGAAACGAAGGTTGGTTAGAGAGAGACCAGGAACAGTTCCTTTGGCTACTGTTGTCTCCGTAGGCGAAACTGTTGGTAAAAACTGTGCCCTCGATCTTTGAAAATTTAACAAGATTAGCAGAAACGTAAACAGAGCTTTCAAGTTCGACAACAAAAAATTGCAAAAAAGGTGCATGTTTTACCCAGTTATTCGCTATTAAACAGATTATTTTCTCTATTCTTTTAGTTAGTTTCCTGCAACAAAAAAAGAGTACGAAAAAAAAGGCAGAAAAAAATGTTTATTTTTTAACTATGAGAACGACAATGTTTTGTTGAAAACAAATTTGTTCTTTCCGTTCCTTCCTTTTTTTCCCTTACTTTTTTCTTTTACTTAATCCACTATAATTAACAACCGCTTTTTACATTATCCTGTGGTCAGACTAAAGCTTTCACGTTAATAAAAAACATATGTTAGCAAAACTACAGGTGCGCTATATTCATTCGTCAACTGACTGATACATTAAAAGTAAGTAATTTTTTCTTCTTTCTTTTTCCAATTTTATTAGGACTGTTCGAAAGTAGCAAAAATACGGAAGCAGTAAGCAACAAGAGAATAAGTTTTTCGTTATTCTATTAATAACTGTCGTAGTACCACAAAAAAAGAAACGAATTACAAGTACTTGTAATATATATAACCAGTTACAATAAAAAACATCGGTTTACCAGTTCAGTGAATGTTTGCCTAATATAACGTCATTATATCCAACAATAAACAGGGGGAAAAAAGTTCCCTGTGCGAATTTTCTGTGTTTGTGTGAAATGAAAGACGAAACAGTTGACCGTAGAAGTGCTAGATTGCCCGTTTTTGTTTCCCTCTCTTAGCCAGCAATATACGTACATTGTTTTTAGCTGTTGTTAATGTATACTTTTTGCAGAAAAAAAAAAAGAAAACAAAAAAAAAAACAAAAGATAAAAAAGTGAAACGAAAGAACTAAAAAGACTTAAGAATGCATTACATAGCTTAAAAAAAAAATTATTTGCCTTTTTCAAAAATTTGTTTTCAAAACGTTAGTTTTTTTTCTCCTACTTTTTGTGACTTCAGATATGTATGCATATTCCGATGATGGTGGATGGTAAATACGAACTGAGTGTTTATCTATCTATACGGTGCTATGTGCATTTGTACTCGTGTAGATGTATGTGTGTGTCTGTGTGTGTGTGTGTGCGTGTATGGGTGTATGTATGCATGTATGTACGTATGTACGCCTATACTCTACTCATTCGGCTGGCTGCCTAGTCTTCGAGACGACACTGTAGACTAAACTGAACTATTGAACCATTCTAACCAACTAGGCACACACTTTGAAGCACAAGCACACATACATATCTACACCAGCACATCGACGACGTACACAAATACATTCATAAACGCATTAAACACTGAGTGTTTTAGTGTAAAGAGCTATAAAAATGAAAAAGATAAGAGGAGTAATAAAGTAGGGAAAACGATATATATATGTACAATGAGTATGAATAAACTTAAAAATTGATTAAATTTTTGAAAAACAATTGTAATTATGAAACAAGAAAACCAAATGATATTTGTTATTGCTAAACCGTTTCTTCTAATTCAAAAATTTTATTTCGAGTTCTAGTTTAGACATCAAGTACCTTTCAGTAGTATTAAAAATTCTTTTAACAACAAAATGATGTTATAATAGTCACAATTAGTTGCGAAAGCCTAGCAGTCATACTGTGCAAAAAAAGTGCTTTATTTCAACGGCTATAATGACGACATTAAGCTGCTGATATTGGCAGTGATCAGCAAAGACTGACTTGAAGAAAATTTATTTAACCACAGTACCGCCAATGTAATCTGTATAACTGGCAAAAGAACAAAAAAATTTAAAATATTTTAATTAACCTTTTACGAAACTGAAAATTTAGTTAAATTTTTTATGTACTTCTCAGAATAGCAGCAAAAATTTTAGCTATTGATTGCATACAAGGTTTAAATATAGTGACAGATTTTTTGTAATACGAGGTTGTTGGCTGCTACGATTTCTGACTACTGCATCAGCAAAATACTGTCAGCACTACTATCAGTAAGTACACTTCGTTCATAATACCTACCTATATTTTTGTAAAACACGTTATTTTTTTCATATCAATACCCAAACTGGCACTGGTTGCAGCCTCACTATTACCATTATTATTGTTCTCTTCATAACTAGAAAATAATAATAGCAATAACCAACGTCAGCTTTGTCATCATTATCATCACCAACGTCGCAGTCAGCAAAAATCAATCGCCCATCGGTAAGTTGCAGTAAATGAATAAAGGAAAAGAAGAAAAAAAAATATCAGCTAATCTTGAAATCATTAATACCAACCAGTTGGTTAGTTGATGACTAAGCGTTTGCTTGTGTAGGTTTAGCTTAATTTTTTCTAAGCATTATTTTATCCCCAATAACCACCACCATCACTTTTCAAACGCCAATTCACTGTCATGTCTATTTCGGTTCTATCCTTTTGTTTTTTTTCATCCGCTTGCCTACTTTTATCTCAAATTTCCTCTTTTCTTACAGTTTCCTGCACATGTACTTTTAGATTCCAACTAATTACCGGCACTATCACCATTAACATCACTACTGTTGTCACTGCCCTCGTCAGCAGACCAGCTACAAGATAATCAGCAGCAATAATGACAGTAACAACAAGAAATATATAACCATACCTCAGAACTTTATACTAGCTAAAAATATATAAATAGATAAAGCTGCATTATTCTTTTATGCCTTTTCTGCAGAAACTTATTCTCATTTTGAAGAACGGCACTAACTATACTTTGAACCATTACATTTGAATCTCTGCAACCTTTTTCACCACTCTTTCTTCTGCCAAATAAATAGCAAGTGTTAAATTACTGCGCAACTTTTAGAATCACCAAAAAGCAGTTCAAAAAATTTTTTCTTGAAAACATTTGCTAAAATTCTTCTCAGCTGCCGATTTTCTTTTTTCTTTTGCTTTTACACTCACCTCAACGCTTGCGTGCGAAAGGAATAAATTTGTCAAAAGAATAATCATTCTTTTTTCTCTATTCCTTTCCACACTTTTTTCTTTAGAAGAACTCCCAGCGATAGTTGAAAAACTCAATGATAGATAGGTATAAAGCCAAAAAATGAACCTTTCTCTGAAATAAAAAAGCTATTTTGCAAAACAATTAAATTCTTGCTACAACGAACCGAGTTACATAGCTCACTTTTCGCTGTAAGAAACGCTATAGTGCTGCAGTAAGGAACGCGTGCAGCGAACAGAACAAAAAGCCCTAAGACGAATTTCAACAGGCAAAAAATACAAAAAAAATCTTAGCCAGCAGAAAATAAAAAGAAGTAAAGCAAAAACAAAAAAAATCTTTTGAAGAAATAAAAGCCAGAACTTTTTAAAGTTTTTAGGCTTTAAAAAAGCACGGAAGAAAAACACTTTTTCAAAATACCACTATGCCGCCGCTGCCGTTGCTGTTTTCGTTGTCAAACCATACTTTTTTTTCGCCCAGTTTTCAAAATAAATGAACGGACAAGGAATAACTGAAGCCCTCGGGCAGATGTCAACCAGCATTCAAATCAATCCGCCAAGTAACCAAGCTTAAGACTTTCTTGTTTCCTTCCTTCTCTCCTCCCCCCTCCCCCCCCCCCCCCAAAAAAAAAAAAAAA